GTAGCCCTGGCTGGTTTGGCTCAGCGGTTAGAGCGCCGGCCTGCGGTCCCGAGAGACCCAGGTTCGGTTCCCGCTAAGGGCATGTACCTCGGTTGCAGTTTGTCCCTGGCCCTGGTTGGGTCGTGTGGGTGGCAACCACTCGATGTGTCCCTTTCACGTCGATGTTTCTCTCTCTCTCTCCCTCCCACTCTATCTGAACAAAATATCAAAAAATTTCCTTGGGTGAGGATAAAAAAAACAAACAAAAGTTGTATGTGGATTTTCAACTGCACAGGGGTCAGCGTCCCTAACTCCCTCGTTGTTCAAGGGTCAGCTGTCTCCCAGAGCTGACTGATGAGCACGCTGGGTGTCCCCCAGAGCTCCGGGGCCAGCGGGCTCAGTGGCAGGCTCGGCTGGACTGGGACCTGATAGCCGGGGGGCTGTGTTCCCAGGCTCTGAGCACAGGCTCGGGCACAGCTCTGGGAGCACGTGGGAGAGCATGGGCTTGGAGCCAGACAGGCCCGGGCTCAACCCGGCCTCTGCCCCGACGGCCACCCACGTGCCTTGGGAGAGTTACTCGACCCTGCCTCAGTGTACTCGTGCACACCAGCAGACTGAGAGAGAGAAGGATGGCTCAGTGCGTGGCTCGGCCACAGACCCTAACACGTGCTCCTTTCGTGGCGAATGTCTATTGAGTGCTTTCTCTGTGCCAGGCCTGACACGGATCCCTTTACATGAGGAAACTGAGGCTTAGTTGAAGTTCCCTCCAAGGCCCCCCATAGCAAGAGGAGGAGGCCGTCTGAGAGCTCAGGTTCTCAAGCCCACCATGGCAAGGCCCTGCTGGCGATCCTTCCTGATGGTCCTGGGCCCATGGGCTCTACCAGCGCCCCAGCCCGCCCTGCGTAGACCTGCAGGCACTGTAACTCAGGCTGGCCCTGCCTCTTCCAGGAACCTCGGGGCGGGTTGAAGGAAGAGAAGAAGAGCAGAGTCTGTGTGTGGGAAAGACAGGGTGGGTACAAATTATTCAAGTAACCCCATCACTTCCCAGGAACTACAGTGGTTGAACTAACTGGTGTATGAAAGCATTATTGTGGCGCCACCTACTGCTCCATGTGTTTATTGCAATAAATGTGTGGCAAAGCCAGGTCTAGGTCTCTGCAAGGGGCTTTTTCTACCCTGGCTGGAGACTGTGGGCCAGCAGTGTCCTGAGACCTGATGCAGACAGTTTGGGGGGCCTTTTGTGATTATCAGGGTATAGGTCTTTTCTAGTGTGAAACAGTGGCTTGCCTGAAATAGATTTTAAAAGCCTGGCATCCCCAACTCTCTCAAGAAGAACACAAATCCCATCTTCTCTGTTGAGAGCAGAGAGGGACTTTTTATTTTTTGGCCTTGACTTTTGTACCTTAGGGAGCATGTTTGTCCCATAAAAATAGACCCCAGCCACCTCCTCCAGACTCATGTACAAGCATCAAATACCATTTGAGCCACTACAAGATGAAACATTAAATATTATCTCCCCCCTTTTTAAAACACGTGCCCTGTGGTTTACAGTGAGGAGCTTGGAGAGATGAAGAGGAAGGACCAGGGAATAGAAAGTAGCTCCAACGAGGCCACAGCCATACTGCACCTGGCAACAGGCTGTCAGCTCCTCCAAGTCAGACCCCAGTCCCACAAATTCAGTCACGAACATGAGGCTGAGAACCACACCCCAAAAAGACTCCCTGCCTCGGGGAGTTCACAGTCCGTGGAAGAGTCAACAAGTTGGTGCGTGACCGAAACAGAGTACAGGAAATGTGGTCACGTGGAAGGGGAGTCTCCCTGCCCCGGTCCACGTGGGAGGGGGTGTCATGGGTATGCTCCCCTGAAGACATGAGGTTTGTCATAGAAGGCTTTTTTCCTTCATTTTTATAACTTCACTTGCCGGTTGACCATCAGCCTTGAACTCTGTCCTCTCTGATAGCCACTTATTACCTGTCAAGGATTTAGCAGAACCCTAGATGGCTCCCAGAATACCCACCCCTGTGAAAATCTTGGTCCAGAGGCCCCTTTGGTCTCTCCTGTCTTCCAAGGGACAGGAGGCGGGTTGTGACCCTGTACACAGCTTAGAGGTTCCATATTTGTTCTGCAAGCCCATCTTCCTCCTCGACCCGCCCCCGGGTCTGGTGGGTGGAAATGGAACAGGTTTCCCAGGACTGTTTCGGAACCAGGACTGGCCTGCACCACCTCCAGCCAAGTGTGCCAGGTGCCCTACATTTGAGAGCCCCGGGGCCCCGCGTGGTGATAGGGGTGCTGGACCTCGATCCTCAGCTCTCCGCGTCTGGGTTGTCTGTCCTCCGGGGCAAGGCTGCTGAGTACATCGTCCTGTCCCCAAACTCCAGTCTTGAAGCTCAGTGTCACCGCCCAGATGTCCTGGTGCTGGAGTTTGCTACTTTTTTTATTCTCCCACTTATTATGCATCTACTGTGTGTGGGGCAAGGTTCCGTTTCCACATCTCAAGAAATGAAGTCACTTGGTATGGTGTCAGTTGGGTACTAGAGTCGTCGGGGTGATCACTTTGTAAGTTATGCAAATGTCTAATCATGATGCTGTGCACCTGAAACCAATATAATTGTATGTCAACTGTAGTTGAAAATGAAAATATTATTTTAAAAAAGTGATTCATTCACTTGGCCAAGGTGTTATAGCAGAGGTGGTGGTGGAGCCCAGGCCCAGCTGACTCCTGAGTCCAGCTTGCAGCACCCCAGGCCCTCCCCACAGCTCCCCAAAGGCGCTCTCCTTCTGTCTCCTAGCACCGTGGTGGGAGGTGGGAGAGGAAGCAAGTTACCAAGAGGAGCCCCTTTGTCCCTGGGAGGCAGGCGGAGGGCTGTTGCACTGAGACCTGCCAGCAGGTGGAGACTGACTGCTTAGGGGCCGGAGGTGGACAAAGCTCAGTCCTTGGTTTCAGGTGGCGGCCCCAGCCGCTTCCAGCCGCTTCGCCCTTTCCCTCCTTGGTTTATCAACACAAAAAGGGAAAACTAATCACCAGTACAAAACAATCCCTTCATTAAATGACAAAGGAAAACACTGGTCTGGGATGAAATTTCTCATATACAACATTTGTGCTTCAGATTCTCTGTAGATAATATTTGTAACATATATATGATACAATTGAACCATGTTTCCTGTCAGTCATTGGAAATCGGTTTCTCCCCCTTCTCCTTGGGTTACAGTTTAGTTTCCTTTCCTTTCATTCACGTGCTAAATCGGACTATGTTGCAGTAGCTCTGGGCTTGTGGACTGACCATATGTGGCTCACTTGTCTGTTGTAGCACCTACGGTGTGCTGACTGTTTACGCCGCTGAAACTCGGGTTTGGAGTCCAGATGCTTCACCTTTGTCACACTGGCGAGGGGAGGGTGGATGAGGAGCCCGGGACAGCGGGGGATGGGGGATGAGGAGCCCGGGACAGCTGGGGATGGTGAATGGGGAGCCCGGGACAGTGGGGGATGGTGGATGGGGAGCCCGGGACAGTGGGGGATGGTGGATGGGGAGCCCGGGACAGCAGGGGATGGTGGATGAGGAGCCCGGGACAGCGGGGGATGGTGGATGAGGAGCCCGGGACAGCTGGGGAGGGTGGATGAGGAGCCCGGGACAGCGGGGGATGGTGGATGAGGAGCCCGGGACAGTGGGGGATGGTGGATGGGGAGCCCGGGACAGCTGGGGAGGGTGGATGGGGAGCCCGGGACAGCAGGGGATGGTGGATGAGGAGCCCGGGACAGTGGGGGAGGGTGGATGAGGAGCCCGGGACAGCTGGGGAGGGTGGATGAGGAGCCCGGGACAGCTGGGGAGGGTGGATGAGGAGCCCGGGACAGCGGGGGATGGTGGATGAGGAGCCCGGGACAGCTGGGGAGGGTGGATGAGGAGCCCGGGACAGCTGGGGAGGGTGGATGAGGAGCCCGGGACAGCTGGGGAGGGTGGATGAGGAGCCCGGGACAGCTGGGGAGGGTGGATGAGGAGCCCGGGACAGCTGGGGATGGGGGATGAGGAGCCCGGGACAGCTGGGGATGGTGAATGGGGAGCCCGGGACAGTGGGGGATGGTGGATGGGGAGCCCGGGACAGCGGGGGATGGTGGATGGGGAGCCCGGGACAGCTGGGGAGGGTGGATGAGGAGCCCGGGACAGCGGGGGATGGTGGATGAGGAGCCCGGGACAGCTGGGGAGGGTGGATGAGGAGCCCGGGACAGCGGGGGATGGTGAATGAGGAGCCCGGGACAGCTGGGGAGGGTGGATGAGGAGCCCGGGACAGCTGGGGAGGGTGGATGAGGAGCCCGGGACAGCTGGGGAGGGTGGATGAGGAGCCCGGGACAGCTGGGGAGGGTGGATGAGGAGCCCGGGACAGCTGAAGAGGGTGGATGAGGAGCCCGGGACAGCAGGGGATGGTGGATGAGGAGCCTGGGACAGCAGGGGAGGGTGGATGAGGAGCCCGGGACAGCTGGGGATGGTGGATGAGGAGCCCGGGACAGCGGGGGATGGTGGATGAGGAGCCCGGGACAGCTGGGGATGGTGGATGAGGAGCCCGGGACAGTGGGGGATGGTGGATGAGGAGCCCGGGACAGCGGGGAAGGGGGGATGAGGAGCCCGGGACAGCTGGGGAGGGTGGATGAGGAGCCTGGGACAGCAGGGGAGGGTGGATGAGGAGCCCGGGACAGCTGGGGATGGTGGATGAGGAGCCCGGGACAGCGGGGGAGGGTGGATGAGGAGCCCGGGACAGCTGGGGAGGGTGGATGAGGAGCCCAGGACAGCTGGCTCGGTCTGGCTCCACAGAGTCTCTGCTGCCTTCTAGGAGGCCTGGCCAGCTCGCAGTGGAATTAACAGAAACTATCTGCCCCTGTGTGGACTTAGGTGCTTATTTGCACCTTTTAAGCCTGAGCACAAGGAAAGCCCACCTGTCACGACTTCCCCACGCTGGGCAGTGTCGGCCGCGGAGCTGAAGGCCGTCCTCCGGTGACTGCCCAGTTCACCGTCCTCTCTTTCCTTTCCCAGCCTGTGTTCCCACCCACCAGAGAAGGTGCCCTGCCGACCTCGCCCCTGGAGGGCCCGGGCCCGCAGCCCAGGGAGGCGTCGGCGTGGCCCAGCTGGAAGGGCACGGCCCCTCTGGACCAGACAAGTAAGTGTTTTAAGCAGCGTCCAGTGGGTCTGTGGGTTTCCAAAGTGCTGTTTGGAGGCTTCCGGCTGCTTGCGTGGCAGCTCAGCTCTTTCCCCGTCAGTCTGAGTGGTGTGTGCCCCCCGGGGGCAGCGAGCCACAGGGTCCCCATGTCTCTAGCACCCAGCACATGGTGTGGTTTTCTCTTGGGCAATGTTCCTGGGAGCCCCGTGCACAGTGGGGGCTCCTGGGCAAGTGTGCAACTCACACAGCTGCACAACCCGGCTCAGCTGCCTGTAGATGGAGACAGGGTAGGACCGGCCCCGGGCCGTGGGACGGGAGGATGGTACAAGGCCAGGAGCGCTGATCCAGCTGAGCAGGGCGTGTCAGTGTGCAAAGGGGTTGGGTCCCAGCCTCTGGTTGTAAGTGTCCCTCTGAAACCTGGCATATTTGTTAGGGTAACTTGCTGCTATGCCAACTGAACCAAACATTTAGATGGTTAAATGCAGTAGTTTTATTTCTCATCAGACAACAGTGCAGTGCAGTGCCCTGGCTGTACCTTCAGAAGCTCCTCCCCTTTGTGGCTCTGCCGTCCCCTCGGGCCTCTGAGTCTTCCCCTGGGTCATTCACATCCCGCCAGCAGATGGAGGAAGAGAGAAGGGAGAAGTCAGTGCACCTGCTGCCCCACCACCTCAGCAGGGAATACACACACCACTTTCTCTCCCTTTCCCTGAGCAGGAACTAGTCACATGGCCCCACCTCGATGCAGGGGATCCTGGGAGATGTAGTCCTGGCTGGGAAAAACGCACCCAGCAACCCGGCTCTGCCAGGAAAGGGGGGTGGGGGACACATGAGCCCCCCCCCCCCCGCCCGCCCATCCTGCCACGAGGTCGAGGGCGTTGCTGTTCCCTCTTCCTGCTCCTTCTCCTGGAATGTCCCGCCTCTATACAGGGCATTGAACTGCCCTCTGCAGAGACTCCTCAACATCTCCAACACACAGTCCTTTATAAAGCTGTCAAGTCATGTAAACCCTCAACTTTAGGGGCCCAAATTAGCTGAGTCACTTTCCCAAAGTCACACACACATCAGAAGGCGTGAGATGCTTGGAATCGTGTGGGTGACAGCTGAGGGCCATGAAGCCCCTGTGTCCAGGCCAGGTAGGTCTCGTGGCCCCATAACTGTGGGAATAAAGATGCTCACCTCACCCCACACAGGTCGGCTCCTTCCTCGCCTAGATGTACATGCCTGTGACGGAGGCCAGGCACCTTTGTCCCCACAAGGGGGAACCATTAGCAGTATTTCCACAGTCCTCAGCAACAGCAACCATAACTTAGCAGCAAAATGCCCATCTTAGAAGTACACTGTGCTAAAGATTGTGCTAAAGCTTCTGCTCTGTCAGGGAAAAGCCTTAACTAACAGCTGTATAAGCCAATCGCATTGTTATCTCTGTGCAGAGGCTAAAAAACCTAAGTGTTTTTTCACAGTCATTCTAAAGAGTTTCCGAAAGAGGTCATTTCCATGTTAACCTTTTGGCACCTATCAGAAACGGCAGAGATTCTGTGAGCACGTGGAATTTTCCTTATGTATGTATGTGGTTTTCAGGTTTACTTTTTAAGTGCATTTTTCCTTTCTAGATATGCTTTTCTCTCCTTGCGGTTGCCTAGAATATCCATGTTCGTTCGTTCAATCATTCATTCATTCAAATTTTTTCTTTCTTTCTCACCATGGATTGAAAATTCTCACAGAGAAGCGACTCTTAGCTTCCACAGGACATGTGAGAATGTCATAGAATAGATCTTTCATAAAGAATGATAAATAAATAACTTTAAAATCACGTTATAATGCACAGAGGCCATCTGTGGGCACTATTTATTTCTTCCTCCGATAGCATCTCTAAGCACTGTCATTATCTTGTGTGGCAGATAAAACCTCGAGGGACAGTGAGGGTAAGTGGCTTGTCCGAGACCCTGCAGCTGATGGGAGTGGTCTGGTCCTCACACACACACACCTCGGCTCCAATCCGCAGGCTTGTTCTAATCGGCAGTGAGTGTCTCCCACCATAAAACCAAACACCAGGGACAAAAACAGCATTTCAAAATTCAAACTCACAAACTGGTACCCTTGAAGGATATTACAAAGACTTCTGAGAGACACTCTTTCGCAGAGTAGTTCCCCGCTGACTTCGCACTCCAGATACGTCTGCAGAGGGCTTTGCTTTTCCAAACCTGATCGTGTGCATGATTTTCTGTAAAGTGAGGCACCCGCGTGTCATTTCTCAGTTGTATATAAAACATAAAAGTTAGTTCAGAAACATCACACGCGCACGCACAAATTGCACACTCTGTCCAAACACCCATGCATTCCTCGGGATGAAGCTGGAAAAGGGAAATAAGTAAATAAAGCACTTGCATTGGGAAACTGCTGGATTTCCTGAGGTATGCTGGCCCTTGACAAGCTGAAATGTGCAGGCCAGCCCCTGAGGGCCTGACAGATGTCTGACTCCTTTAGCAGGGAGCAGATTCCTCCCGGGGGCAGGGCTCAGCCTCACGGAGCAGAAATGCAGCGCAGAGGAGGCCAGAGGTGGAGGTCATCCGAGAAGGTTAATGTCCACTGGGCTATTTTCGGCTGCTCTGTTGATGCCTCAGGGGAAGGGTTGGTTCCAGAGCCTGTTAGTCCACAGTTGGGGTCAGCGCCAGGGACACGGTGGCCTGAGCAAACCACAGCAACAAAGTCTTGACAGTGCTTACAGTAGTTAATGGATTCCCCCAAACCCGTTTTCGTTTTGGAGACCTTGACGGAGCATCGGCTTTATACATGGCTGGGACGTGGAGATCGGACGGTCCCTGCTCCCGAGCTGCTCCCTGGCTGCTGTCTGCAGAGTCGTGAAAGAGTGAGAATTTGAGAAAGGAGGGGATAGTGAGGAGCAGGGTCCCAGGGGGATGTCCCCAGTGGACAAGGAGAATGTGGTCCTGCAGCCTAGGTGCAGCTTTGAGCATTTCCGATGACAACCAGGTTTCCATAGGGGTGCGTGTTCGTGGAGACATCTATCTTTCTGAGACAAGTTGGCCAGATTCCAGCTTCCCCAGAGGAGGATGGTGACTGGGACTGTAAAAGGCAGGAGAAGAGAGAAGCTGGCCACGGGCTGAATCCCACCCCATCCTGCGGTGAGAGTAGGAGGCGTGTCCAGGTCGGTCCTGGACTTCCCCTGACTCCCCCCACGGCCCCCCAGAGGGTGCTGGCAGCAGGGCTGCTTGGAGCCCACACCAAGAGCCCAGTTGTGCCCCGGGGGCCTGGATTCGGTAGGAGGAGCCTTTGCAAGCCCAGATGGGTTCCGGAGCTGGCCAGGGGCTGGGGTGCGGCAGCAAAGAGGACGCGGCCCTGCCCTCAGGGAGCTCATGCTCAGACAGCCCAGAAAATAAACTATAATATAGTTTAACTGTCAAAAAACGAAAGTGTTTCTGTCAAAGCTCCTCCAGGAAGGAAGGCTGGGGGGGGGGGGGGTGCCACAAAGGAAGTGTCAGAACATCTGGTAGACCTGCCTCCTGGTCCCACACAGCAGTGTCCCCTGCAGGCCTCAAGCCCAGCAGCTGCTGTCCTGGGGAGTGACCCCTCCAAAGCCCTGGAGCCCTCATAACTCATCCCCAGGGAGTCCAGCAAAGCTCCTAATAAAGGAAAACAGTTTCTGTCGGCAGTACTGTGCCCGAGGCCACCGGGGAGGACCAGGTACCCTTCGCTGAAGGAGAACCAGGCTGGCTAATTCCCCTTCCCCAGGCGCATGGGCAGAAAACAATTTCCTGTTTGCCTTCAGCGAAAACAAGACAAAGCGACTCTCACTCCCAGCTTGCTGTGCAGCCCTTGGGGCCCGGCCGCCAGTCATCACAGATGCTCTGACCGGAAACTGGGCCCGACTGAGAACCCCCAGGGCTTCGGCGGGCGGTCTCAGCTGAGCCGCCTCGGTGGGAGGGAGGCAGCCTCCCGGCTGCGCCAGCAGGGAGCTCTGTGCCCTTGACAAGCTCCGTCACTTGCCTCTGTTCCCTGGTCTGTACGCGAGGCTGGAAGTACCGCCTCTTCTGCCTCGAGCCCTTTCCACAGTGAGGCCTGTGCCTTGAGTTGAAAATAAACTTACGAGCTGAGCAGGAGAAAACCCTGTTCTGCCTTCACTACCGACACAGATCACTCCTGGGACCAGGTCTCCGGCACCTGCTGGGGGTCCTACAGTTCAGTTCAGCTCTGCCCCCACCTACCTGGAGTTCATGTCTGAGCCCACAGGTACTGGTTCCGTCCGTCCCATGTGACTTCTGATGCCCATCGCAGGTCCCAGGTCGTCACCTGTAGTTTTGACCCACCGGTTGTAAATCAGGGTGCCCTTGACCCCTTCCCTCCTTGGGTTCGATCATTTACTAGAACAGCTCACAGATCTCAGGGAAACACTTATGTTTACGTGTTTCTTTATGTAATAAAGGACATGGTGAAGGGTACAGATGAACAGCCGGATGAAGCAGTACCTAGGAGAGGCCCTGGAGGGTCCCAGGCACAGGAGCTTCGTCCCCATGGAGTTGGGGTACACTACCCTCCCGGCACATGATGTGCTCACCGGCCCAGAAGCTCCGTGAATCCCATACTTCGGGTATTTCTGTGGAGACTTCATTCACACCGTCAGCCATTCTCTCGTTTGCCAGCACGCTCTCCTGTCGGAAGGGCAGGGCACGGGGCCGGGAGTTTCATGCTTCTGGTCATGGTCTTGTTTGTGATCAGCCCGCGTCCTGGAGCCCCTACACTTTCCTCATTAGAACAAAAGACAGTCCTATCTTCAAAAAATGCCAAGGAATTTGAGAGTTGTGTCTTGGGAACTGGGGTCAAAGACCAAATGCCAGCAGGAGACAGGGACTGAGGCCTGTGTGTGTGTGTGTGTGTGTGTGCGCGCGCGTGTGCATCCATCTGCATTATCATTTCACACACGCATATCACGAGGCTGTTGTGAGCGAGACTGTAAGGCGCCGAGGGCAGGGTCTGTTCTCCTGTGAGGTGGGCCAGCGCAGGGAGGGAGTCGTCTCCCATCCAGTGGGGGGAAATGAGCATCTGCGGGACAAAACCACGGCCCAAAGCCAGAGCCGGAACCGGAGGCTGCCAACAGAGCCCTCTCCTCACCTCTGCTCCCAGGCCAGCCTGGGGCCGGAGTGGCAACTCTCAGGAGACAGAGGTGGCCCTCTACCCAGGTGGGCGTTAAATAGGAGGCAGAACTCTGAGTCTCTCTTCACCTGTGAGGCCTCAAGGATTTCCTGGGACCTTTACACCTGCCCCCCTTAGGTGTGCCCAGTGGACTTCCTAGAGTCGGCTGCTCCCAAAGACCCTGGAGCCAGTCGTGGGAAGTGGCAGGGGGCCACCTCGCCCAACTCTGACTGGTAACAGCCCTCTCTGGTTTCTCCCCTCCCACTTGCAGACCTGGCCCCAGCTTTGCAGAGCCCCGATGGGAACTGGGTGGCCCTGAAGGACGGCGCTCTGCCCCCCACCCGCCTGCTGGCCAAACCTAAGAGTGGCACATTTCAGGCCCTGGAGGCTGCCTCCAGCGCGGCCTCCGCCTACGATGCGATGGGCCCTGACAGCGAGGAGGACTTTGACTGGAGTGAGGCCTTGAGCATGCTGTGCCCGCGGCCCCAGGATCTGCCCAGGAGCGCCCAGCCTCCGCCTACGCAGGCCCAAGTCCCCTCTGCCGCCTCCGCTTCCTCCAGGCTGTCCCCCAACCTGGAGGCCATGTGTTCCGACTCAGAGACCTCCTCAGCAGGCTCTTCCCGGGAAGCTGGGCGCCGGGCCAGGCTGTCCTGGCTGCAGAGAAAGGCCCCCAGGAACCCTGCCGCTGAAAAGATGCACCTGCAGGGAGAGCTGGACGTGAACTTCAATCCCCAGGCAGCCAGCAGGGAGACCTCGGACAGCAGCGAGCCCGAGGAGGCCCCCCACGCTGCAGACCGGCGGGCCAGGAGGTGGAGAAGGGCCCGAGGGGCCTCAGAGGAGCCAAGCAAGGAGCTGTCTTCCCCCAGCGCCCATGCCCGGGAGCTGAACACCCACCAGGTAATGAAATAGGTGTGTGCAGGCGCGCGCACACGCACACACACACACGTGCACACACACGCGCACACACACACTCCGGAAGGATTGTCCTCCCAAGCACGGGTGGCAGAGAGAGTCCTGGGTTAAGAATACACAGACCAGCCCTGGCCAGTTTGGCTCAGCGGTTAGAGCGTCGGCCTGTGGTCCAGAGAGACCCGGGTTCGGTTCCCGCTAAGGGCATGTACCTCAGTTGCAGTTTGTCCCCGGCCCTGGTTGGTCGTGCGGGTGGCAGCCACTCGATGTGTCCCTTCACATCGATGTTTCTCTCTCTCTCTCCCTTCCTCTCTCTCCCTCCCACTCTACCTGTACAAAAAATGGAAAAATACCCTCGGGTGAGGATTAAAAAAAAAAAAAAAAAAAAGAATACACAGACCAGCCCTTGGCTCAGCGGTTGGAGCATCGGCCTGCAGACCAGAGAGTCCCGGGTTCAGTTCCCGCTAAGGGCACGTACCAAAAAAAAAAAAGAAAGAAAGAAAGAATTCACAGACCAGTCCCGCCAGTGTGGCTCAGTGGTTGAGCATCGACCCATGCAACAAGAGGTCACCAGTTCGATTCCCAGTCAGGGCACATGCCCAGGTTGTGGGCCTGAACCCCAGTGGGGGGCATGTAGGAGGGCCAATTGATGTTCTCTCTCATCGATGTTTTTCTCTCTCTCTTCCTCTCCTTTCCTCTCTCCCGAAAATCGATAAAGGGAAAAAAAAATAAAAACAAAAAAAGAATTCACAGACCAGATTCTCATCTTGGGTTTTGCTGCTAAGTAGCTGAGTGACCTAGACAGGTCACATCAACTCTCTGGATTCCACGTCCCTCTCTCAGGGATGAGAGCTCAGGGTTCGACATAGGTCTGCAGAGTATGGCCCCCGACCAGCAGCATCAGCAGCACCAGGGAACTTGGTGGAAATGCAGGTTCTCAGGCCCCCACAGACCTGCTGAATCGACGCTCTGAGGATGGGCCCAGCCTCCCTGCTGTGTGGGCCCTCCTGACAATACTGTGCACTCGAGCTTGAGGGCCACTGGCTTAGAGACGAGGGTCTGATGTCCAGAGGCAGCCTTCCTGGGTGGAAATCCAGTTGTCTCACCTGGGCAAAGCATCTGTCTAGGTCTCAGCTTCCTCATCTGTGAAATGGAGATAATATTACCAGGGTTGCGACGAGTGAATGTGGTCACATTTATAAAGAGCTGAGCTCTGTCCTAGACAGAGCACGAGGGCTCAGCGAATGATATTTCAGTGTGATCATTTAGGGTACCATTTCCTGGCAGCCTGTGATTCCTGAGTCCGTCACACCCCTCCTCAGAATCCCGGAGGCTCTGCTCACGTGGTGAAGTTCATGAACCCCTTTGAAGAATACAGTGAAAGCTCCAGACTTTCTTCCTAGAAAACTGCACCTGTGCACACACGCACACACATGTGCACACACTCACCATTTTGCTTACAATTTCAGGTAGTTTGTTAACCAGATTTATTTAATTTTTAAAATTTTTGTTGAATTTATTGGGATGACATTGATTACTAAAACTATATAGACTTCGGGTATTCAACACTAAAATACATCCTTCATACATTGTATCGTGTGTTCACCCCCAAATTCAAGTCTCCTTCCAACACACCGCATCCCTCTTTTACCTTCTACCTCTCCCCACCCAGCCCACCTTCCCTCTGGTAATCACTGTATCGCTTCTCTGGGTCTATGAGTTTTTTAATTCCTTCACCTTTTTCACCCAGCCCCTCCCCACTCTGTAGATACAGAGAGCAGAATCTAGGAGTCTGTTTCTGTTTTGTGTGTTAGTTTATTGTGTTCATTAGATTCCACCTATGAGTGAAATCATATAGTATTTGTCTTTTCTCTGGCTTATTTCACTTAGCGTAATGCTCTCCAGGTCCATCTGTGTTGACGCAATAGTAAGATTTAACCCTTTTTGTGGCTGAGTAGTAGTCCATTCTGTAACTGTACCACAGCTTTTTCATCCACTGATGGACACTGGGCTGCTTCCAGATCTTGGCTGTTGTGAATAACACTGCAATGAACATAGGGTGCATATGCTCTTTCAAATTAGTGTTTGGGGTGTCTTCAGGTGTGCTTCCAGAACTGCCATCACTGGGTCCTAAGGCAATTCCACTTTTAATTTTTTGAGAAAACTCCACCCTGTTTTCCACAGTGGCTGTACCAATCTCCATTCCCACTAACAGTGCACAGGGTTCCCTTCCTCCACACCCTCACCAACACTTGTCTGTTGACGTATTGATGATAGCGACTCTGACAGGTGTGAGGTGGTATCTCATTGTGGTTTTAATTTGCATTTCTCTGATAATTAGTGACAATGAGCACCTTTTAATATGTCTGTTGGCCATCTGTATGTCCTCTTTGGGGAAATGTCTCTTCAGATCCTTTGCCCATTTTTTAATTGGATTGTTTTTGTTATTGTTTTTTGGTTGTTCCTGTTTTTGTTTTTTGGTGTTGAATTGTATAAGTTCTTTATAAAATTTGGATATTAACCCCTTATCAGATGTATCATTGGTGAATGTGTTCTCCCATTCAGTGGGTTGTCTTTTCATTTTGTTGATGGTTTCCTTTGCTGTGTAAAAACTTTTTACTTTGATGTAGTCCCATTTGTTCATTTGTTTTGTTTGTGTGTTTTCCTTGCCCAAGGAGATACATAAAAAAAAAACAACAACAACATTGCTATGAGAAATGTCCAAAATTTGACTGCTTATGTTTTCTTCAAGGAGTTTTATAGTTTCAAGTCTTACACTTAAGTCTTTAATCCATTTTGAATTTATTCTTGTGTCTTTTGTAAGGAGGTCTTCTAGTTTCTTTTTTTTTTTTTTTCACACATAGTGTCCAACTTTCCCAACACCATTTATTGAATAGACCATCTTTACCCCATTGTATGCTCTTGCCTCCTTTGTCAATTATTAATTGACCATAAAGGTATAGGTTGATTTCTGGGTTCTCTGTTCTGTTCCATTGATATGTGTGTCTGTTTTTACACCAGCGCTATGCTGTTTTGATTACTATGGCCTTGTATTATAGTCTGATATCAGGTAGCATGACCAACTTTGTTCTTCCTTCTCAAGATAGCTGTGGCTATTAGGGGTCTTTTGTGGTTCCATACAAATTTTTGGAATATTTGTTCTGTTTCTGTGAAATATGCCATTGGTATGTTGGTAGGAATTGCATTGAATCTGTAGATCGCTTTGGTAGAGTTAATTCTTCCTCTCCACGAACACAGTATATGCTTCCACTTATTTGTATCTTCAGTTTTTTTCTTCGGTGTCTTATAATATTCCGAGTACAGGTCTTTTACACCTTTGGTTAAATTTATTCCTACGTGTTTGATTTTTTTGGGTGCAATTGTAAATGGAATTGCTTTCTTAGTTTTCTTTACTGATAGTTCATTATTGGTTTACAAAAATGCAACTGATTTCTGGATATTTATTTTATATCCTGCTACTTTACTGAACTTATCAGCTCTAGTAGTTTCTTGGTGGAATCTTTAGGGCTCTCTGGTAATGAGATGAACTTTAGTCTGTAGATACGTGCTGCTCACCCCCAGCTCTGTGCCTGTGGCCACGCCCTGCCCTTGCCTTCGCCTCTCACCTAACACCGTGCAGCCCACTCCGGCCTTCCCGTCGCAGTATTGTCTAAACTGAAAGAGACCTGTGCAGCCAGGAAAGTTGGCATGACCGTATGTAAGCGGTGGGTTGCAGTGTTTGACACAGAGTGCTCTGGAAGATGTGGGTACGCTGCCTCTGCCCTCTGAGGGGCACCCCACCACCCACCTGCATCTCTCACCTGCACCGCTCACCTGCACCACTCACCTGTACCATTCACCTGCATTACTCACCTGCACCACTCACCTGTATCGCTCACCTGCATCGCTTACCTGCATCACTCACCTATACTGCTCACCTGCACCACTCACCTGTATTGCTCACCTGCACCGCTCACCTGCATCGCTCACCTGCACCACTCACCTATACCGCTCACCTGCACCGCTCACCTGCACCACTCACCTGTATAGCTCACCTGCACCGCTCACCTGCACCACTCACCTGTATCGCTCACCTGCACCGCTCACCTGCACCACTCACCTGTATAGCTCACCTGCACCGCTCACCTGCACCACTAACCTGTATCGCTCACCTGCACTGCTCACCTGCATTGCTCACCTGCACCACTCACCTATACCGCTCACCTGCACCGCTCACCTGCACCACTCACCTGTATCACTCACCTGCATCGCTCACCTGCACCGCCTCCTGGAGAAACCACACACACTTTCTGAAGGTCACTGCCTCTTCAGGAGTCCCCAGCCATCACGCCCTGTATCCTTAGTTTGGGGTCCACCAAAAACAGGTCCTGAGTCAAGGATTTGGATGTAGGTTCATGTGGGAGGAGACCCCAGGAAGCCCACAAGAGAGACAGGGACGTGAGAAAGGCGATGAAGGCATGCTGTCAGCTCTAGGGATCCATCCCACCTGGGACCTTCTGAGAAGCCACACGGATCGCAGCTCAGAGTTGTCCCACGAGAAGACTGGGAGCAGTGACCACAATTCCCCATCTCCCATTGGTAGAGTGATCCCACCCAGGGTGGACAGGAACTCCATACACCCAGGTCTTCGTGGGTGGTGCCTGAGAAGTTTCTCAGATGGAGAAAAAAGTCTGAGGTAGGAAACTATCAGAGGGCCAAAAATTGTCCCTCACGGCTACAGGCAACTCATGTAGATCCCAGGAATACAGTCTGTGGACATCACCAGCATCTGTTACGGTGACCTTCTAGGAACGTGCCAGCCAAGTTACTGATCCCGGCATCCCCCACAATGATAGTTGTAGACTCAAATGTCCTCAAGTCACAGAATGTGGCGTCTGTCCTGTCTGACCTGCTAATATAATGCCAAGAAAAGGCCTTCATTTGGTCCAAGCTCTCATTTTCTCCTCTGTAAAACATGATTGTTACAAATTGTCCTCCTGGGATTGTTGTGATGATAGAACAGGAATATGAAGTTCTGTGCAATTGTGAATCATTATCCAGCTCAAGTGCAGGCTGCTTTCCAGAGACCCAGTAACTTCCCTCAGGGATATTCTTGAGGGTTGTCTACACACTTGCAGGTATAAAATGCCATATATGCACCATAACTAGGTATCTGAAGCTTTCTACTTGTTCTGAAGTGGCTTGAAAGTTATCTTCTGGGTTCCTCTTTGCAAGTCATCATTAAAGAGAAGGCAGGGGCCAGGAGAAAGGAGCTGGGACCAGCGTTGTGTCCACCTCCCTGGCAGTGTCTTCTCCTCCCCACTAGGTGGCGATGGTGTTGCACTTCTAGGGACTTCAAAACCCTGGCCTCCTGGTCCTCCCTTCTAGTTTACTAGAGCAGTTCTCATCTCAAAAGACATAATATATATCCCTTTAACTGCATACTTTTACATTACAAATTCCAAAACACAGATATAGTCCCCCTTGACCGCAACACTAAACCCATTACCTTCCCGCAAATGACTACGGTTATATTTGTGCATTTCTACACATCCAGTCCATGTAGACATGTAGTTCTGTAAATGCATCGGTGTTTTAGCAAAACCAGCATTTTTCTCTCCATATTCGTCCGCCCCCTTCTCTTAACAATAAGTTGTAGAGATGTCAACGCCCACAGAACCACGGAAAGGACTGAGTCACGTGGTCCCCAGGAGTGCAGGAGTGGAAGCCATCCATCCGGGTGCAGGTGATGAGGGCGCCCTGCCTGTGGAGGATGTTTACACCGAAGTAAATCTAACAAAAGTCAGTCTCTTTATTATCGCTCTGCACCATGCATGGAAAATTCTAAGCAATGCTAGTGATGAAAGACCCCTCCCCCCCGGGGAGGGGGGGCAGGCTGCTCGCACTCTCCACCCCACCCCCTGGGTTCTCCGCTGCTCCATGGTGGGAGGAATCAACAGTCAGTAGTTCCCATAATGATGGCTATTGAAGACTTTGGTGGTTGATGTTACAAACAACACTGCAGAGAATATCATTGTGCAAGTGTCTTTACACAAGCACAGGAAGTAGAAGTGCTGACTTGAGGTGTATTAATTTTAATGAGTACTTGCCAAACTAAGATCCCAAAACCTCATAGCAATTTACACAGCCACAGAGATGTTTGAGTCTGTCTTCTCCTATTGGTCGCAATACCTAGTGCTGCCAGTCTGTGAAATGATCACCAATGGAAGAAAGGAAAAAATACATTTCTTTTCAGTTAATCTTTTCATAGCTACTACTAAGGTTGAGCATTTTTTTCCCTATACTTAAAAAGCTGCTTGCATTTTTTCTTCTGTGAAAGACACATTTATCTCCTATTATTTTATTGTACCATTTGCCTTTTTCTTACTGATTTTTCTGAATGAGTTTTATTTTGTAATTATACTGTAGATTTCAGGGTTTTTGTTGTTGTTGTTTATACATTGAAAATATTCTCCCTGCCCTGGCTGGTTTGGCTCAGCGGTTAGAGCGTCAACCTGCGGACCAGAGAGTCCTGGGTTCAGTTCCCGCTAAGGGCACATACCAAAAAAAGAAAGAAAGAAAATATTCTCCCCTTATTTATCACTTTTGTCTTAACTTCATTTAAGTCTATTTTACATGCAAAAATTTTTGTTACTAATAATTGATTGATCTTAATAATTTATCAATTATATCCTTTATTTTTCAATTTTGTACCTTGTTTGAGAAAGCATTTTAAAAGACAGTTTATTTACTTATGTATTTACTTTTTAAATCTTCATTGGGGGATATGATTTTAGAGAGAGAAGAAGGAAGAGAGAGAGAAACATCAATATAAAAGAGAAACATCAATCTGTTGCTTCCCATACACTACCTGACTGGGGATCGAACCTGGAACCTAGGTATGTGCCCTGACTGGGAATCCAACCCACAGCCCTTTGGTGTGTGGGATGATGCTCCAACCAAATGAACCACCTGGCCAGGGCTGTCACATCTTGTTGGCAAAACAGGATGGTCCAGATTCTGGTTGCAAAATTTGTGCGATGAAGTCTTTTCTGCTGAATAATTAACTAAAAGAAAATACCGTGCTTTTTTTGTCCTTATGAATACATTGTGTACTCATTGGTTCTCGAGTTTAAGATAATTCACTTAGGATGCTCTCATCTAAAGACCCTTTGTCTGAGATTTTATGTATGCAATCAACTTCATCATCATCGTTCGAGTCTAGAGAGCTGTGTCCCTCTCTGAATTCATCTATGAGTCATCTAATAGTGAAATGTCCTCTGTCACTTTCTTCTCTGTGTCATTATGAAATTTTAAGTTCTCAACTGTATGCATTGAGCTAAAAGTAGACTCAAATTGGTGATGATTTATTTTGCTATTGAATCATTCTTCCAAACAATTCTATGCTTCTGTATTATTATCTCAGTCTCTTGGCATAATTGGGAAGCACTGATGAGTAATAATGAAAAATATTTCCCAGAATGATGAAATAGCAAAATATTTCAAAAGATAGGAAAAATAAGATCACAAAGAGCCCATCGTATACCTTAGATTTGTACAAGGACCCAATGAACCCCAAGGGGTAAATGCAAAATAGAACGGGTTTTATTTTATTTAAAATATAAGTACATTTTCTCTTTATTCTTTGGAAGCCCTTCACAGAATAATAAAAGCCATGAAATAGCAAGCTGTATGAATAGATTGAACAACTCAAAGAGGAAACTCAAAAACTAAAAAGGGGTCTGATAGACCCTGATGGTGTGCTGTGGGTTATTGTAACATTGCAATACATCTGTCCAAGTCAAGGCCAAGAATAAGAGAAAGTCACAGCCTCTGTGTCCTCTTGGAGTTCTCCGGGCCTGGTCAGGGATTTACTCACAGCAGGAGCTCAGGAGACATTCACCAAGTGGGCAGTAGGAGCCATCAATGTAATCGCTAAGCTAGAACTAACGATCGAGGGAATATCACACAGTATTCCTTACAAATGTGCAAGGACCTTGCTGCATCTCAAAATCTTTGCCCTTTGCCTAGAGTCCTGTTCGTCCCTCTCTCCCTTTCGGCTGGGTAACTGCTATACTTTGATTCTCAGCTCAAGCGTCATTTCCACAAGGAAGCCCTCCCTAGCCCCCAGCGCCCCCCGGCAGGCGCCCCTTCGAGTGTGGGCTCAGAGCCTCCCTCCCACCCCAGCCCTTCTCTGCTGTCACCGTCGTCACAGCTGGTGTGGAAGGTTCAGGGTGCCCCCTTCCCGAGGGCGGGCCCGGTTCGCCCAGCCTCACCCTGTCTGCACCAGCAGGAGCTGCCCAGGCTGGGCGTAGTGAGGGTTTTGTGGAAGAAAGCACAGATGCATTCCAGTGCATTTCTGAGTGCGGATGCTCACCCGCCCGAACCCTCTGGCAAAGTGTTAAGAGGCATGTATTTGAGAAAATACATGTAAGGAGTAAAAGCCCACCTGTACAGAAAGCAGGCCAGGTAAGAGAGCTGTTGCCTCCCCGGCCGACCCTTCACCGTGCGTTCCTGGGACGAACTTCACGACTCCTCACCCGTGATTCTGGTTTCGTTCAGGGGGCGAGTGATGTGTCGGAGACCGACCTCAGCAACGAGACTCGGCACCCGCGCACCTGTGCCAACGCCGCGGAGGAGAAAGTGAGGAACAGGCTGTTCGAGTTAGCGATGAAAATGAGCGAGAAGGAGACTTCCTCGGGGGAGGATCAGGAGTCCGAGCCCAAGACGGAATCTGAGAACCACAAAGAAAGTCTGTCCTCGGAAGACAACAGCCAGAGCATCCAGGAGGAGCTGAAGAAGGTAAGGGCCCGAGACAGCCGCGCTCTGCAGCCGGGGACGGGGAGAGGCTCTGTGTGGGCACAGACGTGTGCGGCCCCCAGAGAGCTCTCCCTGAGCCGTCCTCCCGCGCGCCTGGGAGAGCCCGGGGCGCCCCCCCAGCTAGCTCGCGTGGCCCATCGGGGAAGCCAGCGTTATGTGGTATGAAGGGCTTCCAGGACCCCGCCTCTCTCACAGACTCTCCATCAGCACAACCCCTCGGCCTTGGGTCGGTGCTGACCTGCCCGTGGTCTCTTGTGGCCGAGAGCAGGGGTCTCCCCATCCTCAGCCTGAGGAATGCTGCCTGTGGACTGGGAACATCCAGTCTCCCCTTTCCGTCACCGCTGAAGCTTCATGGCAGGGTCTTCTGGGTCACTGATCTCTGCCGTTTGCAGAGTTGCGTTTGCTTGTCTTAGCCTCAGAATCCCTATGTGGGATTCCAGTGTTTTAAACAGGTCAAAGACACCGCTACTTCCAAACACTGACGTTCAGACCCACCCCTCCAGCCCCCCAGCCCCCCAGCCAGCCTGAGTTCCAAGCGACATTGTTTGACAACCGCAGGAGATAAGCCCAACCCCATGAAGAAGGGGATCCCAGACTCCCTGCCTCCGGTCAGCGCTCTGCTCGGGTCCTGCAGCACGTGCCTGCTAGACTTGGCCAGCTCAGCGGCAGGGTACCCCGAGGCCTCCAGGGCAGGGGAAGAAGCTGACCCTTGATGTCCTCAGGGGTCCACGCTTTGCACATATTGGTTAGTTCGTTTAATAAAGACCCTTCGGAGTAGATACAGATCCTTTGGCAGGTGCGGCCACCGAGGCTCGTCAGGAAGGAACGCACCCGGCCAAGCTAGCAGGTGTCAGAGCTGGGGCCGCGCCACCCCGCTTGGCCTCAAATCTCGGGCTCCTTCCTTTATAGCGAGCTGCCTCTTTTGTAACACAGAGAAGCTCTGGTCTGGAAACTAATAGATTTCTTTGCATGTGGATAAGTTTCTTCCTGTTTTGAGAATATGCCCTGTCCGCCAACCAGTTACCAGTAGCCCACGTGCACGGGTGAATGAGTCCCCTTCGTCTGCTCAGCAGCCAAGTTGGGGCACCAGGGAGTAGCCAGGCCAACCTCGAATGACCACAGGTGGTCAAGAGCGGGCTCAGAGGGAAGTGGGGACTGTCCTCCATGGCTGAGCCCCTGAACCCTCCAGCATCTCAGACTGTGCCTTTCGGTCATAATTCTGCAGGGCCCTCTGCCCGCAGACAGCACACGAGTCTGAGCCCTGGCCACCCTCCCCGGGAGGTGGGCTCCAGCCCATTGCTTCCTCAATGGTCACGGGCTCTGATCCTCTCTGTGACTTGAACTGATGTCCCTCTACAGTCACGTTGGTCTGCCCTTGCCGAGAGACAGACGGTAGCTGGAGAATCACATTATTTCTTTCGAAGGCCCTGCATCCTGCCGGCTTGATGTTCCCGAGGCTGCAAACCCTCGCGCTGGACCAGTGGCGTGCCAGCCGCCTTGAGGCGTGCGCCGCCGCCCTCGCCAGCCTGCAGGCCTCACCCCTGGACGGACGGCCCCCAGTGTGTTGTGCTCTGGGCAGACCAAGAGCAGCGAAAGGAGGGGCTCGGGGAGGGGGATCCTGGACCCCTGCGCAAGCCCCCATCCTGCCCAGGCCCCTGCTGAGCAGGAAACCCGGAGCGTCGCTCTAATCCGTACTCCCCAGTGTGTCCGTTTCTCAGTGTTGGTCTCCGCCCAGCCCACCGTGAATTCAGTCTCAACCAGGCATCATCTGCTGCATGTAAGACTCCGTGTAGCAAACAGAAAAGACCATTAGTAGGTTTTTCTCCATCAGGCACGGGCTCGTCTGAGGGAAGGAAAACAGAAACACAGGTTTACACACCGAATATGATTCAGGAGCAGACGGGCACAGAGAGGCTTCGGGATTAGAGTGAAACTGAAACATCACCGTGCAGTTTCCGAACTCTGGACGGGTTCATGTCTCAGCTACTGCCCCTGCCGAGAACCAGCCGGCTCGTTGCTGGCCTGGCTGCCACACCCCTCCTGGAACGGCCCCCGCCCCTCGGCCCTTCTTGACCTCTCCCGTCCTCTCCCGTCCTCTCCCCACTCAGAGCTGCCCGGCAGCCCTGAGCTTGCTCCCCGCGTGTGGACAAGCCCTCGTCTGTCTTGTTTTCTGACCGATCCCTGGGGCGATGCCGTGAGTCCCGCAGACTGAGCTGTGGGCTCGCACAGTGATGAGCGCTGGGTACGGCAGTCTTCGCTGACCCTTCGCTCCCCTGCCCGGTTCCCGCTCCTCCACCCCCGTTTCCTGGGCGCCTCCCCAATAAACCACCTGCACTCAAATCCTTGCTCTGAGTCTGCCTCGGGGGGAAGCAGACTGAGGCGGCAACCCAGCAGGAGAATCCCCGCTTCACAGATACTCACTTCAGCGGTGAGGAGGCAGCCAGGCAATCCAGAGGCCTAACGGGCTGCTCACTGTCTTTGTCCTCCCAAGGACCTTGTCTTACATGGAGAGGGCTTCCCCCAGACCTCGCTGATCCTCCTGCCTCCACCGCGGGCCCTGCTCTCCGGGAGCCACAGCAGGGGTGCGCTCCCGCGGGCCAGGGCCCCCGTGGCAGCCGTGTCCTCAGTGTGAAGACCCATCTAGGAATTAGGGCCTCAGAGTCCTGTCCTGCAGCAGAAGAGCCATTTCACACACATACTTTCTCGTGACGGGCACCAGCCCTCTGCTGTGAGCAGGCTTGTCCCTGGAGCTGGCTCGCTTTGGGGGGTGTCGGGAGCCCAGCGATCACTGGAGCCCAATGACGATTCAAGGATGGTCACTGTCGTCTGCATTTCAGCTAGCTGAAGAGTGAGCTGGTGGAGCTTGGGACCAGCCCAGGAACCTCCTAAGAACTGGATTCCCAGAGGTTCCCGTTCTTTCTGTGAGTCAGCTGGGTCCCGCTGAGCCTCAGTAGGCAGCCTTCCGAACCAGGGGCCCTCAGACCCCACCCAGAAGCACTTGCTTGTCCTCCAGCACGGGGCAGGTGGCCAGGCCCATGTTCCGTAACCACGTCTGGGCTGAAGGGGTTCTTGGACCCATTTGCCTCTCGGTGCGCAGGTGCTGTGTTCCTGACAGAGAAGCGAAGATGGGCCAAGGACCCCTGGTCTGAGCTCGGAGACCACATTCAGGAGCTGAATCTCCCACCAACCCCCGAATCCTCCTAGGCACGGAGCGTCGATCCCCAAAGTCCCTTCTGTCTTCTGACATAAGTTCGTGACGCTGTTTATGAGACAAATGATGTCCTACGTGTCAAGCTTCTGCCACATGAGTGTTTGCTGAAGGCTCAAATTAGTAAATTCTAAGTGTCTTTGTTTATTAATTATTATCACAACTAGCGGAGTCACTGTGCTTTATTTTCACAAGGGAGTCACAGACCAGCTGGTGTCTCCCATATTTATGTTTCATGGAATAACTCTCATCAAAGTACTGAGACTCCTCTAAACTAGCAAATGCCCGTGTGCACCTGCTCGTGGCTGCTCCCCATTGACTAACATCAAGTCGCCCGGAAACACCATCCTGCCCTGCGGTCAGGGAGACAGGCGTACGGCTGTTGCCTGAGAAAACGCAGAGCCTTGGGTTTCTCGGGGTGAATGTGCTTGTGAAAAACTTCTGCGGACATCATGGTGTTAACATAAACTCAAGCGTCAACCACGTGTATCTCACCCTTGTGAAATAATCCACCACTCACGAGAGGATCCAGTGCCCTTCCTCCTAGGGGGCATTTCATTTCAGATGAGCGTCTCAATCTTTAGTTGGTGCTGAAGTGGATACGGTGTTAGACACCAGCTTGTCCCTTACCACCGCCACTGATCTCAGCAGGCCGTGTGCCCGTGGAGGAATCAGATCTCTTCCCCAACTTCCCATTTAACTGTCGCTCTGGGACCACAGAGGAGCGTTAGCCGTCCACTTGGGGCTGGAGCACTGTCCACGGTACTCGAACAGGTGGGCGTTTTGTTCGCCCACGTGGTCATTGGCTTCCCTCATTCCCACGACCTTGTCCTGTGTGTGGAGACAGCAGGAGGGCTCGTCTGGCTGGGAAGGCAGAGTTCCAGGTGCTCCCCCGGATCACGGGGACTTCGGCAGGACACCTTCCTCTCTAGGCAAAACATGAACTGAGCACTGGAGACAGACTGGCCAGAACTCCAATGCCAAGGTTGCTTAAAGCCTCTGAAGGGTTGAGAAAAAAACAAGGTTTCCTCAGCTACAGCTGAAGAATAGGACATTGGCAGATACGGTTTGAAGAGAAAGGCAAAATAGCTCTAGAAGGTTCTAAGTAGAAAGGTCTACTAGACCTTTCTACTAGAAAACAAGGCACTGGCTTAGAGCTCTGGCCCCACTAAAGCCCGAAAGTAAGACACCTGGGGAGATGGGGTCATGGGAGGTGAGCGGGAGGGAGGCTAGAAGGATACTGTCCGTCTGAAGCTCTGCAGAACAAACAAGGCTGTGCTGTCGAAAAGCATTCTGGGTAGAGAGACTATAAAAACGGAAGGAAAGGAAGAAAAAAAGAAGTCTTAGCTACAAAACAAATACCAAAATCCCAAATAAAATCCTAGCAAACTAATTTTTTCGATATTAAGAGAATCATAAGCCAATGCACTTTTTCAATTAACATATTTACTCTGAAAATGCAAAAATGAAGTTAATAGCAGGAAAGCTCATTGCTATAATAAATCATTTAGTAAGCGCTATTTTTTAAAAAGTACATCATAATCTCAACTGATGCCAAAATGGTCCTTGGAAATATTTAACACATATTCCAAAGAAGTCTCAATGAAACATAATTCTGGTAAAGAATGTCCATCTCAAAGCAATACAGTGAAATACCAGAGAGTTTTTCTTGAATGAGAACTCTTTGTAAATATCAAGAACATCTTGAACATCATAATATTTTGCTATTTATCAAATAAATACATGACAAAGAGTTATGAATGTAAATGCTTTT